TGTCATCTCATCTTGAATGAGTTGCACATCCACGACATAGTACATAACTCTTAAATAAAGTATAAAGTTTTTAGCATCTTTTTCAAGCTGTCTTTTCAGAGGTTTGTCCATATCTATCCATCGCAATGTCGATGTGCTACGGCAGACATAGCGTAGGCTAAAAAACTCAGGTTGTCCCAGACCTAAACGTTGTGTCACATTGTCCAGACATTCCTGGCCGACACTATCGATGCTAAGGGTGCATTCTATAGAAGTGGCATCTAATAATTCGACACAGATCACATACTGATTCTTGGATACGACATTATACTGCCTGCTCTTCTTCAAATGAAATTTGAATGGCATCTTGGTAATCGCAAAGTAGCTAAAATATATCGATATACTGTGATTTTAGATACGAATAAGATACGAATAAATGTTTATGTAAATTATAGGTTAGACAATCTCAAGATGTTTATGATTACATTAATCATTACTACCGTCCTCATTTCTAAGTTTATTAATCTTAATCTTAATTTAATTTAGAGTCTCTTTATCTTTTTTTAATTCTTAGAAAATAATTTTAAGGATAAAAAATAAATTAAACCAAGATAAAATTAATCTACATTGATAAAAATGAATATAAATCTAGCACACTAAAGCGATAACCTTGATTTATGATAAAACCTTAAAATAACAAATTGGTGATATAATATTGAGTCAAGATAACGATATACGTTTCAAACAGTGCGCACATCCGCTGACCTACCCGATGTCTTAAAATACCGTACACTCATCACTTTCCCGTATAAACATCACTCGGCGAGCACGTCATACGTGCAAGATAAGCGCGCGTATTTCGGCCGCGACGGTTATCGAGATCCATATCAGTCGATATCAACTATATCAGAACCATGCGAACATGGAATTCCTTTTACAAAATATCGCTTAACCTCGCGATCCACTTTTCATCCTCTCTCAGAACACCTTTCGGCGTTCGACGGGAAAAGCAATTAATTTGCCTCTGATTTCCACACAGCGAGAGTATCGATATCTCCGGTACGACTCGGTACATCGATACCGAAGTATCGAGAGGTGAAGAGGCATCGATACCATCCGGAGTCAACGGCCAGTCAGCCGTCTGTCAGCCACAGCTGGTCACGAGTCTGGCGCAGCGATTCGAAAGTGATGGCGGTCGTCGCGCGCGTCGTGCCGACGGGCCGCTGTCAATAATGAGGAAAAGAGACGTCGCCGTATCGCCCGCTCGTACGCAAACCGCATCTGCTCGCAAGCTCCCCTCGCCCGCTCACGCCACCGTCACCGTCGTCTCCGTTGCCGCTGCATCGCGCCGCACGCCCACCGAATGCCGATAAGAGGCCGCGGTTAGACCCCGCGTAGATCCCACGCCGCTGGACCCCCGCTTCCCGTGTCACATGTGCCACGCGCGAAGAAAATGAGCATCCTGCGAAAGAGGTAAGCGTGATGCTCCCGCGCAGCATGACGCGACTAATGACCAAATGTCCGCTCACCGTGTTCGTTGTTTTACAGATTGAGCGAGTTCGATGATATTCTCGACGCGGACGAGATAGATACGGCCAGCCTCAGTAAAATATGTTTCCACGGTACGGCCTCCGCATGCCATCGACTTCTTCCGCGTGAACCTTCAGTTATGAGGATTTCGATATCTTAAGTTCGCAAATTCTCATTGACCCCTTTTTTCTTATCTTAGGCATACCCGACGAGCCTGGCGGGCTAAGGCCCCTGTGTTGGAAGCTGTTGCTGAACTATCTACCATCGACCAAATCCAGCTGGTTAGAAACTCTAAAGCGCAAGAGAGAATTATACAATACCTTTATTGGTGAGAGAAATCTCGTGTTGTTTGTGTGATGAAAATAATTTTGATGATTAGAAGTTACATCTGATTCTTTTGCACTTGACGACTTTGCAGAAGATCTCATTGTTATGCCTGGAGAATCAAATTCCGATGATAAGGAGAGAGTTGATGTAACGTTACATGATCATCCTCTGAATTTAAATCCGGATAGCAAGTGGCAAACGTACTTTAAAGATAATGAAGTTCTACTTCAGATTGATAAAGACGTTAGGTAAGCATTATTTAAATATTCCGAGAATTTCCCTTCTGAGACATATAAATGATAAAATAAGAAATCATTATTTAAGCATTATTTAAATATTCCGAGAATTTCCCTTCTGAGACATATAAATGATAAAAATAAGAAATCAGTTTTACTTTTACTTGTATAGGCGACTTTGTCCAGATATATCATTTTTTCAACAAGGCACTGATTATCCATGCCAAAAAATAGTGAATGCCAATGGTCAGCAGCGCCTACATCACAGAGTTCAGCATACAGTACTGAAAAGTGCAAATGTCGAAAGAAAGGGTTTAGGAGTGACCAAGGTAAAAAAATACAAACAATTAAAACTTCCCTTGCTTAATTTAATTATTAAATTTATTAATAGATTTTACTTACCTTTGCCCTTACGTTGACGTGGAAAGCAGCAGGTATTAACCGATATGAACGCAAATGAACTGATATGTCCTATAGATAGTTGACAAAAAAATCTTTTTTTATTATATTTTTATATTTTGGGCGTTGTAAACGTGATGTGTTAGTGAGGTAGCTTTAGGACACATTTCGCAGATGCGGTTTTTATTATTATACTATATTATTATTATGTTTTATTTGTTAGATAGCGGTTTCTGTCAGAAAAGCCACGGAAGATTACGCACCATTGGCTGAAGGTGGTGAAGCACACTGGGAAGTTTTAGAAAGAATACTTTTTTTATATGCCAAATTGAATCCCGGCCAAGGTTACGTACAGGGTATGAATGAAATTGTTGGACCTATATATCACGCATTCGCTTGCGATCCGGATCCTACATGGCGAAGTATGTACTATAATATGAGAGAAAAAAATTACATAAATACGAATGATGGTAATGATATATATGTATATATATATATATATATATATTTTTTTTAGAACACGCTGAGGCAGATACATTTTTCTGTTTTACTAATCTTATGGGCGAAATACGAGATTTCTTTATAAAGACGCTAGATGAAGCTGAATTTGGAATTAATTCAATGATGAGTAAATTGACTAATCAAGTTCGAGCCAATGATCCTGAAGTTTGGTTACGTCTGCATCAACAAGAGCTATGCCCACAATATTATAGCTTTAGGTATAGTATAGTCGATGACTATTATTGTTACCAACGCTGTTATTCGAAATCTTTGTTATTATTATTTTCATGTTTTGAACAAGATGGTTGACGCTCCTTCTTTCCCAAGAGTTTCCCCTGCCGGATGTTATGAGGATATGGGATTCCTTGTTCGCTGATGAGAATAGATTCAGTTTTCTCATACATATCTGCTGTGCCATGATCCTGTAAGTAAACAAGTTTTGTTCTATCTTTAACAATAATCTTCATCGTTCTTTTAGCACAGATGTATGTGTTTTTAGATTATTAAGGGATCAGTTATTGGCCGGCGACTTTGCTACGAATGTTAAACTCTTACAGGTGAGAGATATAAATACTTTTTACACGTGTATTTATTATAGGATAGTGACACATAATAATATGTTTTCTGTTCAGAATTTTCCATCGATGGATATCCAGATTGTGCTCTCTAAAGCCGCTGCTCTGGCAGGCAAGACTTTATAACTTTCTTAATGATTAAACTACGGACAACATAATTTCTCGGTATGTCGAATATCACAGTCTTCTTTCTCTCCCGAGTTGTCGCGACATATCGTAAAATATAATTTTATATATCATCGTGAATATGCGTCATTGAGGAGAGATGCAATAAAATATCAATTATAATATAATATCATCATGCAAATGTTCAACTCAGCTGATTATCTCATACACGCACACACAAATGATCTTATATCAAATATTTAACAATTGTATATATGATACAACACTGTTGTAGATAATACTGAAATATATATACAGCATTTTGCCACATGTTAAGTTTTTTGATATAAAGTGTGCTTGTATATACATAATTGTGTTAAACTAGAGTTTAACAAGGCTGAGAATGTCAAATTGTAAATTTATATAAGAGATACAATAATAAGTGACAAATAATGATAAAATGAAAATTAAGTGCAAAAGGGAAATCTTTTTTTAAGCTTTCCCGATTGTCCGATACATGAATTTTGCAATAATCGAATCGCAATAGATTAGTATCGTTTATATATACACGCCATAATAATTGCACGATATGTTAAGAAGAGAAATTACATTTTGTAATCTTATTTTTGTAATAAAACGCGCGTTCGAACTATGTTTATAAAATAAAGGGAAACGTTATCAGTTCTCCGTCGTGCTTATACTTATCTTATTGTATTCCATCCTATATGTATCTCTACAATTGGATTACTTTGGATACGGTCGACGACGGAACTTGAGCCTTCTAGAAATATGCATTCTTCATTCTACTCGCGAGAGAGCTAGAAAAGAGAGTGAGAGAGAAAACAGTGATCATTATTAAATTAATAAAGCCGCCTCGTTCCCGGGCAAAGTAAACCGAATTTCCGGATTTTATTTCATCTCTCGTCTCACTCTCTGCGGAGTAGAATGATTGACCCGGACGACGGTAGGAATATTAATCAGGATACATTTCTGTTATTCACGCCAAAGCTATGCGAGCGTTTCTATCGCGGGCTGCATAACGCGATAGAACGCTGAAATTATGAAAGAACGTAGGAAGTGGAAAAAAATTACATAGTCGAAAGAAGAAATTATAAAAAGAGATTTCGTTTATGAAAGTATATTTCGTGAAATTAGAAATAGCGCAAAATGACATTCTTATGTGTAAATAGCATAGAAAATTACGGAGGCCGCAGTTCGGCTGACCCCGGCGTTCTTTATCACCAACGACCACCAAACTCGCTTTGTTGGGGAACCGGACATCCAGTCGTCGCGGTCCGGATCCCCGGCGTGGCGAATCGCTGCTGTATCTCGAGATTTCGAGAATAGACGCGATCCGTATACCGAGCATAAAAGTCGCGCGAGGTCTCGGAGAAGAAGCATCCGCGCTCGTGTAGGTGGACTTTTATAGCGGTTGATTACTTGATTTATAATCTCGGTTTGCGCGGGGGCCCATTGGAGGCTTGGCGACGGCAGTCGGGGATGCCCCGATCGAGCTCGCAAATCATCGTCGCGTTTTGGAGACGGAGAATACCTTTTCTTCGATTCTCTTTCGCTCGCTTGGATATCGATGTTACCTGGCTAGAGTCCGAGAAAATGTGTTTCTTCGAAATATCGGAGACATGTGCGTGACCATCTCTGATGACCGATGACAAGTAGTGCGATCGTAATGACCTTAATCAAGGTTTAATGAAGAATAAGAGGATCCAGGAGTCGCGGAACGATTTTAATACCGTTCAAAAACTAGGCGACAGTACAGATACCTATCGTAAACACGCCCCCGTCATTAGGGGGTATAGCTCGAAATTTACCACGGCCATCCCTCTCGCCGCCGCTTCTCGGCTAATCAGAGATTGCGGATTTTATGATCGTTGATGATCGTTAAGATATACGCGCCGGGGAGACGGCTGCCGTCTTCTGGTAGTCGAGACAACATCGGGGATTCATCAGAGTTCGCGTATCGCCCGAGGATAGACCCTCATTCTTTTTATTAATCTTCTGCAATCCAATTTCTTTTTTCATATTAAAAGAGTTATATAATATGTAAGTGATAAAAAAATGACTTTGGGACATAAAAATTAAAATTAAATTAATTTTCAGCTTATACATATTTTTTATAAATATTATTTATAAATATTTGATAAAAAAACAGATTTGTGTAATTCTGAAAACACAATGGATGATGGAGTACATATTTATATAATGAATCTTTATTCATATTCATTACAGCATTCATTAGTATAATTTACTATATCATTCGTAATTTCATCATTAAGTATCTTTTGAAATAGAGAGTAAGGTTTCAACGATATTCACTCTAATTTGAAAAACAAGTAATAATTGGTATGAACAGTCTGTTTAATAATAATAACACAATGAGGCACTGATAAAATGTAAAGCATGTATGATAAAAAAAAAACGAAATAAGTCTTAATATAAATATATAAGTACATAATTTAAAAGTTACGTAGTGTTATAAAAAATTAAATGTAATCCAATCCGCAATTAAAGTGATTTCCAAATAATTACTATTCAAGTAATATTGCTTCCATCTATGAGTGATACCAAAAAAAAAAATAATGGAACTGCCTAAACGATTCTGTAAAAACACGCTGTTTATTATTCGCGATTTAATGCGTTTTTAAAAGTCTCGGAAAAAGCATTAAAAATGATAATAGAATTAATCCTGGGCACACCGAGAATGTTATATGCGTGCTTGTGTGTTCCTGTAGCGGCGCCAGTAGATAAATAAAAGGATTAATATTAATGACTGTTCTCTCGCGAAGTAGTAATTCTTCACGAAAGATTCCGAGGGTTCCGGCCATACCATCGGCTCGATCCTCGAATTTATGTCGAATTTACCGGACCTCTTCCACGTCAGCTTGAGGAGGTGACACATGAAGCCGTAGGGTTGACGAATGCGCTAAGATCGGCCGAGGATGACTCGGCAGATTGTTCGCCGGCGTTCCCAGCGGTGGTCCCGATGTGCCTGCATACAGCTTGGGATTGATGGATCCTGACCTCTCAAAGGAAAGCTTCGGCACGCCTTTCGGGATATGATAGATTCGTGCGCGACCTAATACGGAGTTGGGAATCGCGAGAGAGAGAGAAGTACCGATCGACCCGCCGATCCATCGTGTCTCGCTCTCGCTGAAACGCCCGTGAAAAGCCCTCGACCCTTGCCAGCCTGCCAGCGAGAATTTTTGCAGCCTCTCGACACGCCTTCCGACATTATCGGATGTTATCGCTCGCTTTTCCTTATCAAAGAAAAACGGAGAAGTCCTGTTTTAGACGCGCGAATCGTCTGCTTTAGGAACGCAATGTCGTGGGCGCGACACTGTTTATTTACAGTTAATTTACCGTGCCTGTGCCACGGCGTGCTATCTCCTATTCGTTGGTGGTCCAACGTATCAAAGATCTCAATCATTTATTTGTGCCGGTGGATACACTCAGCGTGCGCGTCTATCTGTCGTTTCGTGCATTGTACACGGATTTTACCTCTCTCATGCCGCACGGAGAGAGACGCGTCACGACGTTACGAAGCCGATTTTATATTGCCGCATACGTTGTCCCATTACATAATAACTCGCTGCCATCCGGCCGAGAGCCGATCCGTAGATTATCGGCATTCGATCGATAGACGTCCACGCCGACAACCGTCGCCGCCGCGTTCGCCGCGCGATCGATCTTCAGGGAGGATCCTTTGGTCTTCGCCGCCATTCATCCCTCCCCTCCCGTGAATGTGGAGCCTTGTTTCCGCCCGTGACGTTTCCGGTTGTGGCGACAGTGAGTATCGGTACGAGGAAACGCATCCTCAATTCAATGAAATCGATATTGCCTCCTCCTCCCCCTCCTTACGTTCAATTCTATGCGTTCGGCGTAACGTGCGTACGTGTATATGTGTTATATGTACGTTTAGTATGGATCCGCTTTTAGCGAAAATTCGACGAAGGACCATGTCTCGTGTTCGAACAAAACGCATATCGCGCAATAACGTAATCCTCATCCCCCATTACGGGGAGGGAGACCGCCCTAGAGTTTAGCGATCTCTAATGAACTGCTAGTCCGTTAGTTAGCTCAGTTCTCTCTCTCTCTCT